GATAATAAATTTATCCCTGAAGGAATGGTTGCTTGCTAACAACCTACGTCCTCATTGTGGCGACTCTCAAAGTGAGTGATTCACGCGCTAACTAGCCACTCAAGCTAGACCCACAACTTGGGTGCCGCAAGAATCAAACACAAAGAACACTCCAACTAGCCACGAGCATTCCACTAGAGTTGCTCTTTGCGATCTCCCATGGGGTAAACACAAGAGCCCAATACAAACAACTTGACCAGTGGCGGCAAACAATCACCACAAGCCCCCTTAACGATCCTCCAATCCATCGAGCCATCTAGGTGGTGGCAACCACTAAGAGTAACATGAAATCCAACGTTCAAACAATGAACTAGTGCCATTGTATGCAAAACAAATAAACAAATGCACTAGATCTCTCTCGGTCTCACTTTGGATCAAGCAACTAGCAAGGAGATTAGTGGGAGATGTTCTGAGAGCTCACGCAAGTGTTAGATCAGTTAGAATGCCATATCTCAGCTCTTAGTTCACTTTAGCAATGAGGCTAGGACTTCAGAAAATTATCTTCGTGATTAAAAGTGGTTTTCTTTTATTCTCTGTGATAAAAATACATTGACAAAGTGATTATTACGTGGAAAGTGAATAAGAAAAATATTTTCCATCTCTAGGCCCTTAGTTCACTTTAGAAAATCACTTAACATAATCATAAAATTAACTCTGTATAAAAGTTTGTTTGGGAGGGGTTTCACTACAATTAGTATGGGAGCACTATTCGAACGCAAAGTGTGTACAAGAGAGAAAGCTTCTACTCTGTATCAAATGGAAGGAGGGCGCTACTAGTTTTTCTATTAGGTAGACCATCGTCTCATTTGCTTGGAACAATTAGAGCTAATCTTGTTCGCTTGAACTTATAGTACTGTTTATCAGTTATGGTACAATATTTTTCTCTCACGACAAATTAGCATCGGTCGGCTTATCAGCCGCAGAAACCTTAGTCGAACAGCTCAATATCTTTCTGCATTTTAGTTGAAGGGGAGTTAGAGCATCTACACCAGATATCATATCCCACCTTCTATACCTAAAAAGTAGTTTTTTAGGAGATGTTGGTGTTGCAACAGATCTCATATCTCATCTCCTTTACCTATAATTTTTAAGAGATCTTCTAAAAAAAATCTTTTCTCCTAAACAAAGAAGACAATCCCCTCTCTCCTGAAGACAAGTTTTAGGTAATGTACTATAATAGTCCTCTCTTATATCCTAAATTGACTTTAAGGTACTTTCTAAAACAACTATAGGGGATGCAATATAAGAGATCTAGTGGAGATGCTCTTAGCTAATAGATTTTCACTATTACCTGGATAGTTCAATTCAGGCTTTTGTTTAAACTATTAGCCCGACAATTTCGATCCCTTAGATATAATTTTAGCCACTAATTATACATATTATTCAAAAAAAAAAACTAATTATACATATCCAAACATCCTGCAGTCGGTTTGTTATAACCCTAGTACATTACTACTATGTTTTATTCGTCCAAGTTTGCCATGGGGATTCCCTAATTACTAGTAACAAAAAATAGGGGCCAATGATGGCATTTGAGGTTCCCTTTGATAGCTATTTTTTTATAGATCACTAACGAAGGCACTTTATTACAAGTTCACAAGATATACATGGTGAGAAAAACTCTAATGAAAACCATCATGAATGTTTCATTGTGAAACTACAACTTGTTAGGTACAATTTTGAGGTTGGAAAACATAAGCCATGTGCTAAAAACCTAATGGCACCCATTTCTATATGGCTCTAGCTTGCATTTGTATATATAAGATGTGACATTTAACAGATAACAAGCCGTAAGAATAGGATATGCAGAAAAGGACCAAATCAGAGACAAGCCATGCATGAAACATGGATTTGAACCTTGAAAGGTAGCTAGGATTAGGGATCTATTAGACTCTAGTTTTGAAATTCAAAGTGATGCTACAATCTACACATTTGGAGCCGTAGAAACATGTCACACATGAGATTAGGATTTTAACCTATCTTGTTCCTAAGGTTAATTGATAAGGAAACTTGTCATGTCCTCATGCATGTTTGATTAAAACTTAAAAGCGATCCCAAAAATCTCGACTAGGACTCTAGGAGAAACGTTTGACTCCAACTTCAGCTTGAATTCTGATTTTGACTTGGTTATATTGATAACGCACGTTCTTAGGGCTCGAGCTGAGGTTTTTCCCTGCATTGGTTCCTGTTGTCATTAGTCCATAACTATTACTCCATCTATATTCCAAATTATAAGACGTTTTGGCTTTTCGATACATTGTTTTTATTACGTATCTAGACATAGTGTGTATCTAAGTGCATAACAAAAACTATATATCTATAAAAATCAAAATATCTTGTAATTTAAAATGATGGAGTACTAATGTACTATTGACTTCATTTCTTATTCGACGATGAAAACCTTGGCTATAACTCTAGCACCATTTCTTGCTACCCAATTTCTCAAAATTTTGAATTTTGACGACAAGAACAAAAATGTTTGAATGTCCAACGTTTGACATGGAAAAAACTTGGTTGTGGGTAGTTTCGGAGTTTATTTAGGGGGCGTTTGGATTGGGCCGCTAAACTTTGGTCCCTCCTAAATGGTTTATGCCACGTTCGCTTCGCTGAAAAAACAAGCCGAAACACTGTTTTGGCTGATTTGTTGTGAAAGAAAAATACTATTTTGGTTGAAAAAACAAGCTGAAAAGTACGGATTATAAGACAAGCGAACAGGGCCTTAGTTCCATTTAGTCACTCCGGAGTTAATAAAGAGAACTAAAGCCCATTTAATCCCATTTAATCATAGATAAAAATGACTAAACGAAACGGGTGCGCCTGCCGACCACGCCGACAAGGGCCCTATTTCTACTGCCGCACTAAGCTTCCCCGAGTCAGATCCGGTGGCGCTGGCGCTGTGCGTGAGTGTGGGGCCTCCCGCATTGGTCATCTCTTTCGACCCGATGCTGGAGGAGCTCGCCGCCTCGCTCGTCGTGAGTCGACCAATGAGAGCAGCAACACCTGAGTGTCTGCCTGCTACGATAGCCCCTCAGGAGTTTGAAGCACCAGTGGCGGACACATTTCCTCGGCGACGGTACCGCCGATGGGCGACATACTTGTCTCTCGATGTCGCCAAAGGTCAGGGCCGCCACAACTCACGCCACCACGCGGGAGCACCAGCGTCGCGAGAGGGGGTTGCACCACCCAAATGCGACACGACACCCACACCACGCGAAGTCGCCCGACATCTCGCCGCGGTTCGGTTGAGGAGGTGCGGCTCGGCGAATCCGCCATTAATCGTCGACCCACCTGAGCGTATAAGGTGGCGACCATAAGGCAACCCATGCCAAAACGGATAAGACGGATTGCCGCTCAACCGCTGGCGCACATTCCGATCTCCAAGCGGGGCGAGGTGCTCCTCATGCGGAGGATGGGCTTTGCACCGTCGGCAGGTCCAATCTCATCCGCGTCCAAGAGAGCTTATGACGATTTTTTCGCAAGGAACTTGACGTCGAGCGAAGTGGAAGTACTAGACGTGCTGTTCCCGGCGACCAATGCTACGACTAGTAGAAGACTCTTCTCATATGACGGAGCAGAGTCGCACGGTCACTAGCAGAGACGCCCAGCTCCGTAGGTTACTGCGCTGCTCGTAGTTCAGTTGTTACTTTTATGTAATATCGAAGTTTGAAACAGTTCGCTAGGAAGGTCCAGTCATAACTGTAAGACCTCCTAGGGCGCTCATTAGAAGTGTGTCGTATATATGGTTAAACTCTTTCTCTTCTTAATTACAATAATATATAAATCTTTTCGCGCATTTGAGAAAAAAAAATTACCAGACACCCTTAGGACCCAAGTCGAAGTCTAGTCGTTTTCTCCACGTCTTATCCGGTAGCGGCCAGGAGAGGCAAGCCACTGACAAGACGGGCCCACCCGGCAGCCTCACGGCCCCGTCGCCCGCTCACTCCACTCCATGCACCACGACCCACGAGGGTGGCGCACCGCGTTTCCAAATCCAAAACCAACGCGAGCACGAGTCGGGGACGAGCAGCTCCACAACAATTCGTGCCTGCCTGCCCTGCCTCCTCCTCGTCCTCCCCACCTCGCCGCCCCCGCCCCGGTCCCCACACCACGCGCGCGCGCGGCGCTCGAGGCGACGAATCCGGCCACCTCCTCCGCGCCCGTCCCCGCCGCCGGTCGCCGATGTAAGCATCCGCGCTCCCTCTCTCTCCCTGCGCAGCCGATGCGATGTCTGCAGCGGCGTCGTCGTCGTCGTCCTGCCGCATCTTTTTTTTTTTTGAATTTTTTGGGGTCGCCGGGCGGTGCTCGGGAGCACGGTTCCCGCGCGATCGGTCGGCCATTCGCGGGAAACATCGATCCGATGAGGCGCGCGCGCCCCGATGCGACCGCCGCGGCGCGGGTCGCGGGGGCGCGCAGGCGGTGGATTTGGGTGTGAGGTGCGGGTTTCGCTGGGTTTCGGGTCGGGATTTGGGGTTGGTTGCGGGTGTGTGGCGATCTGTTGCCTGACCGGCGGTAATCTGGTGGGCAAAGCCGAGATTTTTCCCCCGTCGGGTGGGAATCGGCGTGGTGCATCCGGTGATGGGGATGGTGGGATGCTCCCCTCCCTTTTCCCTTTTTAGTGCCGATTGGCGCATTCGATTCCTCGGCAAAGGGTGTGGTGGTAGGGAAGCTGGCCGTCCTCTTGATGGCGATGAGGATCCGGCTCCGCTGATTCCCCCCCTCCCCTTTACCTCTATTGGTCGGTCGCCGGCCTTGGCTGTGCCCAGTCTTAGTTTGATTGTTCTTTTGGGGATGTTGGTAGATGCCTAGATGGAGAGGTTGCTAGAGTGGTGTTGATGTGTGTTCTTTGCGGTATCTGTTGTTTTGTTCTTTATATTGATGAACGATTGTAACCTGTGTCTGCATGTGGAGATTGGAAGGAGCTCGGAGGGCTTGGACGCTGACCCGAGTTTTATGGGGAGAGGATGCCAGAGCTGCGAAGCAGTGCTCGTCAAGCACGCCTGAGGTCTAAGAAGCTCGACGATCTGCAGCCAGGAGAGCCGCCTGCGAAACCGGTGCCACCTGCTCCGCAGAGGGCAGCAAAGCGTGCTCCTACACGTGCTGCTAGGGGCAGAAAGGGTGCCGCTGGGAGAGGAACGCCTCCCGCACCGAAGCCTAGAAGAAAGGGGGTTGAGATTGCCGACTTAGAAGCTGATCCAGCTTGTGAAGACCCCCCTAAAGCTGTCAAGAGACTGGAAGTTGCCCCTAAAGCTGTCAAGGGACTGGAAGTTGCTGCTGCTGCACCCAAGAACCTTCCTTTGAAGAAGGTAGCCAAGGTTGGTGTTCTGAAAATGGATGGTGAAAGTGCGGAGAAGATTGTTGGGGCTGAAGATGAATCGACAGCCACACCTGTGCCAGAGAGGGTATTACTTGCTCTTTTTGCATTTTTTTCTCCACATGGACTGCCATTTGCCTTCTTTACTTCCTAGTTTATTTTATCTGTTTGCAGCTCACCTAATTACAAAAACACAGTTTTTTACTAGCTTTGCATAAACACACTGGTTTTTACTAGCTTTTATTGCCGCCTCTATTTTAAACACAAAAAAAGATAGAAATCATGTCGTTTTCCCATGATGCTTTGCACAGGAGCCCTTAAGTCAATGTAGTCCTTGGGATTGCATGGCATTTATTGTTATGCTGTGGTACCTATTATTTAGTTAAAGGAAGCATTCCAAATCCTGTAAAAACATACTTGTGGCTCGGCGTAAGGGTTCACCAATTAGTTACCTTCAACTCTAGTTGGGTCCTAGCCACAGTAGATTGCCTGGCATAGGACACCCTTAATGTTCCAAAAGATTAGTTCATTTAACACCAAAAGGGGCCAATCACATGCCTACTAACCATGGCACCATGCTTGCCATAGTCCCATCCGCATCTAGACTATAAGCCCAAGGTGATGTTGTCAAAAAGGAATAACTAGTTATGCATAGTTGTAGTATTGTTATTCATAGCCTAGAAATTGGTAGAAGTAGAACTGTTGGTATTTGGTAAAATTCCTATGGTGCAGTAGTACATTCAAATGACAACTGAAAGCCTATTGACTTGCTTTGTTGCATAAAATCAGAAGGCTGTTATACAATGGTTTTATTAAAAAACTTGACTTGGGTGGGTGGGTGGTGGTGGTGGGGGTAAGATATCCCGGGCATTGCATGAAGAAGACCTTCTCACACCTGCCCCACGCATACACAGCAGCACTATAGCCCATGTGAGAACGACCACGACCGGGGCCAGAGCCAGAGCCAGACCTTAGATTTGTGCTTTGGCGTGGGACAGACGAAGGGATTTTTTGAACCCCAGCATGGAAATTTGCTCCCACGGGGAGTTGAACCCAAGACCTGAGGAGTGCTACTCAAGCCACCTAACCAACTCAGCTAGAGGCCCATTAGCTGTACAATGGTTTTATGTTGAACTTGGACATAATTACTTATTTACAGGAGTTTTTGGGGTCACCTAATCTTATTTCATTTCTGCAGGTTCAAGTAGGTAATTCTCCAGAGTACATAACTGACAGGAAGTTAGGTAAAGGTGGTTTTGGTCAGGTCTATGTTGGCCGAAGGGTTTCTGGTGGAAATGCTCGAACTGGTCCTGATGCATATGAGGTTTGTTACTTACCCCTTTTATGAATTTGATCCATTTTTTCCTTACATAAATCCAATCAATGGTAAAAATTTTGTAGGTCGCATTGAAATTCGAGCATCGGAACAGTAAAGGATGCAATTATGGCCCCCCATACGAGTGGCAGGTTTATAAGTATGTTGCTCATCCCGTCGTCTTTCCTTTTTCATGGGGACTATTTCTTTCTGACTATTGTGCATTGTTTGCTAGCACTCTCAATGGTTGCTATGGCATACCATCGGTCCACTACAAGGGTCGTCAGGGCGACTACTATATACTTGTGAGTTCACTGATTATTACTCTATTTCTTAGCAGCTCAACAATTTTATTCACTTATTTTTTTTCAGGTAATGGATATGCTGGGTCCCAGCCTTTGGGACGTGTGGAATTCAATGGGGCAGACGTAAGTATCTTCCATTCTTTTTTATGTTATCTTTTGTCACTCATGTATCATCTTCTAGACTAAATGATTCAACAATCTCAAGCAGGATGTCTGCAAATATGGCTGCTTGCATTGCTGTAGAAGGCATATCGATTCTTGAGAAGCTCCATTCTAAAGGGTGAGCTAAAACTAGCTATCTTCAACTGAATGTCCTTAGATGTATGTTTGACTGTTGATTTACACTAAGATCCTCTGTTTGCCAGGTTTGTGCATGGTGATGTGAAACCAGAAAATTTTCTGCTTGGTCAGCCTGGATCTCCTGATGATAAGAAGCTTTACCTTATAGATCTTGGTTTAGGTATGCATTTGTCAAATAGTTTTTATCTTAGTATTTGCTATTCCATGTCACCATTGTTTCTTTGAAACTTCATATATTTTCTTAGTGTTATTTTTCCTACTTGCCTCCCCCCTTTTTGTTGTTGATATGTGGTACCCAAATTGTACAGCATCCAAGTGGAGAGAGAATAATGGTCATCATGTTGATTATGATCAGCGGCCTGATATCTTTAGGTTGGTTACATTCTCATTGCAGCAGTTTCCTTTGATAAATGGTCTTCCTTAACCTATCCTCTTGTTTCTTTTTGCAGGGGAACAATTAGATATGCGAGTGTCCATGCTCATTTGGGGCGCACCGGTAGTAGGAGGGATGATTTAGAGTCACTGGCATACACCCTTATTTTCCTGATAAGAGGAAGATTGCCTTGGCAAGGCTATCAGGTAGGTTTTAATACACGTGTTAACTCAACATTATGGTATTATTCTGGAGCACACGTCAGCCTGTAACAATGTTTGTAGGGGGATACCAAGAGTTTCCTTGTTTGCAAGAAGAAAATGGCTACTTCTCCAGAGATGCTTTGTTGTTTCTGTCCAGCTCCATTCAAACAGTTTCTTGAGATTGTCACAAATATGAAATTTGATGAAGAGCCAAATTATGCCAAGCTTATCTCTCTTTTTGATGGTTTGATTGAAGCACCCGCCTCGAGACCAATCAGGATTGATGGGGCTCTCAAGGTCTGTACTAACTATTCCCTCCTTTCATCATATATAGTTAGATTTCTCCCGCCTTATCCTTGTCCCTGTACTATAGGTTGGACAGAAACGCGGAAGATTGCTTGCAAATCTAGAAGAAGATGAACAACCTAAAAAGAAGGTTAGATTAGGGAGCCCGGCGGCTCAATGGATTTCAGTTTATAATGCTAGGCGGCCCATGAAGCAGAGGTAATTACAATCATTTAATTAGATGCTACAAGACATGATAGTTTGGTTATACTTGCTGCATTTCTCTAGTAATACCTAGCTTTGTAAACATGATCATTAAGATGTGATGAACTATTGTTGCTAAGCTTTGTTGTCAACATCTGTTGCTTGTTTCTTAGGTACCATTACAATGTGGCTGACTCAAGGTTAAGTCAACATATAGAAAAGGGCAATGATGATGGGCTTTACATTAGTTGTGTGGCATCCTCGGCAAACCTTTGGGCACTCATCATGGATGCAGGAACTGGTTTCTGTTCTCAAGTTTATGAGCTCTCACCAGTTTTTCTCCACAAGGTACAGCACTATCTGAGTCAAGCTTGACCATGCCTAATACTTAATTTAGCGAGGAATTCTAACTCTGTTTCTAATTATACACAGGACTGGATAATGGAGCAGTGGGAGAAAAGTTACTACATAACAGCAATTGCTGGATCAACCAATGGGAGTTCATTGGTTGTCATGTCCAAAGGTCTGAATTTTACTTTTTCTTGTTATTGCTCGCGCTTGCATATTGACCTTCCATTTTCTCACCATTTTCCCATTAGCAGTACAAAATCCTAATGTTTCTCTTGTATGTTCCTTTGTAATTTCCATTTTAAGCCCTGTTACATCGCTTATTAATTATAAGGACATGCTATGGTATAATTTGGGGGTAATATATTTTCACTAATGCAGGAACTCCTTACACTCAGCAATCATACAAGGTTAGCGAATCATTCCCTTACAAGTGGATCAATAAAAAGTGGAAAGAAGGGTTTCATGTAACGTCTATGGCCACTGCTGGAAATCGCTGGGGAGTAGTCATGTCAAGAAACTCAGGGTTTTCTACTCAGGTTAGGATGATTGCTTGACCATGCAAGCATTATTTGTGCTGTGTGCTTACCAGCTCATATTCCTCTGAATCGTATCAACTGTTGCCTGAATATTTAACAAGCCATTTCCTCGCCAACTAATGTCAGGTTGTAGAGTTGGATTTCCTGTACCCGAGCGAAGGCATCCATCGGCGATGGGAGAGTGGTTACAGGATAACTTCCACAGCGGCCACCAATGACCAAGCTGCTTTCATCTTGAGCATGCCAAAGCGGAAGCCGATGGATGAGACACAAGAAACCCTCCGGACCTCTGCCTTCCCCAGCGCACATGTCAAGGTATCCCTGCAGCCCATGCTTCAGATTTCGTTGTCATTGTGTCGTCTGTTACCCATTCTAAGCTAACCTCGCAAAAAACCTTTGTAGGAGAAATGGGCGAAGAATCTCTATATAGCTTCGATCTGCTACGGACGAACCGTGTGCTGATCGCACACATGGAAATCGAAGCGACGGCCACTGATTCAGTATGGTGGCTTGCTTCAAGAGATGTGAGATGGACGTTAAATCAAAATCAATTCTAATGATAGGATCAGTAGATCTGAAGATACGGTATGGTATCCTACCGTAATTGTAAAGAAATGTTGTACCCAATGCCGGCCGTGAGACCTTTCCTGGCATGAAGCTAATTCATTTGGGCAGAAATTCGTTGTTTTCGCCATATTACTGTTTGAAATTTTCACCCGGGTTGTCAGTAAAAATGTGCGCGTGTATATTTGATGGTTTTTGAGATAGCGTTGTCATAGGAATTAGGAAATGTGGGCCATTCTTCCTCTCCTTTTGTGCTCATGCTCAACATTATAGTGTGATACGATCATCTAAGCATGAGCTCGTCCTCAGGTCGGGTGGCCTATCAATTCCGGTAGGCATTTATCATATAACTTTTCATGTATAAAAATATAAAGGAGGGTAATCGAGGTGAGTTTTCCCCCAAAAGTCTGTGCTTCGAACACAATTACTGCACCAGGTCTGTCCTTTCATGTATAAAAATATAAAAGTAAATAATTTAACTGATATTAAGAGCTAAGCCAGGCAAGGCCTGATTAGCTTTGGGCCGAGTTTCCACTCTAGCCCATCCAAACATAGCTACTGCACTGGGGCCTTTTGTGACAAATTCTAGAGGGCCTGTTTGGAAACTTACTTCCTCTATCCTGAATAAATATATTTCTGACGTTCTCTTAAGTCAAATATTTTAAACTTTAATCGAGTTTATAGAAAAAAATATAAAGATTTATGATATGAAACTAGTATCATTAGATGTACCAGAATATATTATCATAATATGCTCATTTTATGTCATAGATATTGTTACTCTTTTTTATAAAGTCAGTTAAATTTGGCACGGATTCTAGAAATTGATTTATTTAGGGACAGATGGAGTATTAATCTTTTTACAGCTGAAATTTGTTACACCTGTAAATCCTTGTGCACTACAGCAGCTAGTGACTTAAACACACAGTAAAAGCAAACGAGGATGGCCCAAATAGACAGTAAAAGCAAGCGATGATGACAAAAATAGCATCCGGAACAATGATGCGAAATTGATGTCAGTTCCGGTAAATGACGGAATTCCTTCGGCTATCAAGATCCCCTATCGACATGGAATTGGAGCTCAGAGTTAGAACATTCATAGTCGAGCTGCAATTAGAGCTTAGATTTTTCACATCAGAACATCAAACTGGATATAACTGAAAAAATTTCAGACATAAGGGAAGAGCTAACATATTCAGAAAAGAGCATGAAAATGAGCGGCACTGTTGGCATAGGGCCTGAATCACTTGCAACTCGCCATGAACAAGGACCAAACATAGATGTTGGCTGCTCTGCTCTCTTGTTGCATCGCACTAAGGTGGTGGCATGGTGCCCTGGTCTACAGACATCCCTGGCCATCGCGCTGGTTGCTGAGGTCACATGGTCCAACATCTCCATCTCCATGGTGGCCGAAATTTCTCACATCCTTCCTGTTTTCATGGCTGCGATGGCTCTCATCCGAGCCCTCTGCACTTTGTGGGGGTCAGACCGTCCCTTGGGCCAGTCAGACTGACCAACATCACAAAGGTCACTGACAACACTGTCAGAATGGGTCACACTGAGCCAACGGTCACTTACGTGAGACCGGCCGGCCACCCTGGTGGTCAGACCGGCAACACAGCACTGCCGAACTCTAGAAGCTAAGAAGCTTCTTCTTGTGCCTCAAACCGATGCTCACGGTCTATCCGCGGCCATGGCTGGTCAGACCGACCGCCGGCAGCCAAATGCCTCTGATCTTCTCCTAAACCTTCCGGTGTACTACACTTCACCACCAGAGCTTTTTGTAGGAACTCGAAACCACTTGGCGATTGACCGCACCCAGGGCCGGTTGGATCACCCTTTTTAGTTAGAATGCGCCCGAGCCATAGTAGATGATCGGATCGTGATGAACATAGACTCACGGCCTCACCGCTGTCATGCTAAAAACAGCCCGCTAAACTTCTTTTTCAAAGCACGTTTCCTCACTTTCCGGTACACTACTCCGGTGCAACACCAAATGGCTCCGGTGGCAACAAGAGCACCTCACAATGTGCCTCTTCAACCTTGTCTTAAAACTATGCCAACTCAAGTTTGATCTCATGCTAGACGATGAACCATTGACCGCATAAGGTTTTTCTTCTGATGCTCAAACCCTTTTTCAAAGCTACTAACTCACATGGGTCTTCCCACGGGATGACCACACCTTTATGCCCGCAGTTAGCTTTTACAAACATTTTTCAAAAGTTTGTCACAACTCAACGCAACGCATTAGCATAATCTCACACGTGGTACTAGATAACTGAAATGTAAAGCACATTTGCCCCTCTTCATAGTATAGGCTATCTATCCTATCAACTTGGTCATTTCTCATCCACTAAATACCTCATGACCGGTAAAAGTCAAACCCTATTTTACCTTTGCCTTTTTCCAACATGATTGACACCATTTTCACCATGGCTTCCATGTTGCTCAATTTGATTTCATCTTCCGTTCTCATCCAACACGCTCTCCAATCATGTCCCCCTGTGTTACATCCATGTCGATCAAAAATTACTTTTGGCTTGAGCCTTCTGACATATCTCTCATCATATCCGCCATGATTTCCATGTTGAAAGGATCAAGATGTCCAAGAGAGGGGGTGAATTAGGCTAATTCTAAATTTCTTTCAATAATTAAACCCTACACTTAGTCTATTTCAATCCCTTGTGCCTAGAAGTGTTTCTATTATTCTACCGCACAAAAGTTTTGCACCCTAGGTTCCAATCCTATTCTAGCATAGCAATTCAAAGAATGTAAAGACATGAATTAAATTGCTCAAATGTAAATGCTCAAAGTAAAGAGAATGAGAGGAATGCGGCGATGTTTTTCTGAGGTAATGGAGAGCCACCACTTCCCACTAGTCCTCGTTGGAGCATCCGCGCAATGGTGTATCTCCCCCTTGATCCGCGCAACGATCAAGTGCTCTCTACGGGCTGATTCTTTGACACTCTGTCGCGGTGAATCGCCCACAACCGCTCACACCATGACTTGGGTCATCCACAAGCTCCGCCAAATGATCATCAAGCTTCCAATCATCATCGAGCCGTCTAGGTGATGGCGATCACCAAGAGTAACAAGCACAAACTCTCACTTGACTAACACAAGCCTAATGAGAAAGGTGGATGCACACTAGCTACTCCCTATGCACTAATGAGGTCCTTAATCTTGGATTATCAAATCTCAATCACCCCACTAGGCTCTTGCTCTCCCTTGCACTCCAAAGGTGTTCCTTAGCTGAATAAATGTGCAAGAGAGTTAAGTTGGACGAGTAGGAGAAGTATATATACTCCCCACTTTAAAACATAACCGTTATTGTCCAACTCAGCCATTTTCGGGGTGATCGGACGCACCGATCGAAGTGATCGGACGCGTTCGGTTAGTAGCCAACTGATACGTGGCGTCAGCCTATCAGGGAAGGTTGTTAGAGTGACCTGACACTGGCCAGCGTTCGGTCAGCATCCATCGGACGCGTTCGGTCAAGAATTTTAGTCTCTGGACCCTCTCTGATGTTGACCTGATGCTGCAAACTCAATGTCCGGTCGTTTACTGTTCAACGTCCGGTCCTCCTCGACAATGAGGCCTCGCTTTCACTGATCGACTAGAGACGCATCTGGTTCCAATCATCGTCAAACGTCCGGTCGCTCCTCTCGGTCATTGCATGCGGCGCTAATCATCGACCGAACGCAAAGACACACAGTGAGTCCGGTCATCACTAAAACAGCGTCCGGTCAACATTTGACCCTCCATTCACTTCCAATTCAAAATCCTTTATGAATGAGGTTGAAACCAATTGATCTTTGGGCTATTCCTGAGCTACCTAGTGCTAAGTTTGACAAGTGGGCATCACGCCTAATCCATTAGACTCACCTAGGTCAAGCTACTAGTTTATACCCCCCTTAATAGTACGGCCAAATGAAAAAGTCCTAAACTACTCTAAGTGTCTCTACAACGCCAAACGACACTTAGAACTAGTCCGTCTTTAACCTTGTCGTCCATCCTTTGAAAGCTGAAACAATTTCCATCGATAGGAGCATGAAAAACATAATTGCCCAAACAATCATTGTCGGTGCAGAAAGTGACAAACACGTAAATATTTATAGTTTTACTGTATGTTGTGATTGGAGGTGGCCTAGCACTCAATGACACAGGGTTTATACTGGTTCAGACAACGTGCCCTACGTCCAGTTTGAGTCAGTCGGTGACTTTATTCCTGAGCCTAGGTGCTCGAAGTTTGTTGTGGGGTTATAAACGGAAAGGAGAAAGATGGGGGGTACAAGAGGTCCGGTCGAACTCTAGTCTGAAGGGCTAAGAGAGACGGGAGCTCCGCTATGTGCTAAGTGTTTTGAGCGTATGCTCGAGGTTTGAACCTAGTGGTTCTGCTGTTGTGTGCTAGTGAACTGATCGATCTCTCCATTTGGGAGAGAGCGCATCCCCTTTTATAGATGAAGGGGATGGCCTTACAAGTGAGAGGGAGAGAGTGTACGTATGCTAAGTCTTGTTGCCCACGCCGTCGGGTACAAGATGATTGTAGGCGCCCATAACACTGTTAATGTCAGATGCATGTGGGAGGTCACGTCGTCTTCTTCTGGTATGGCAGATGTCGGTGCCTGCCATACTGTTGATGCCTAGAGGCATGTAAGGGGTTTTACCGTGCTCATCCGGTATGGCAGTTGTTGCGGGCGTCCACAACACTATAGGTCAAATGTCGGTGCCCACAACACTGTTCTGACATGCCTGGAAGTTTGCAGGGCACTCTTCTGACATGTCCTATCGAGTACTGTCCTGTAGGTGTACATGGTATGGTCCTTGGTATTGTGGTTGACTTAAGTGTCCTGTCTTACTTTCTCCGCCCGTTTCCTGGTCCTTACCGAGCGGGCGTCCCCGGTCGGTTGATCCCAGTCGGCTCTGTTTGCGCCAGTCGGAGAGGAGTTGTAAGTAGAGGTTCAGCGCATTCCCGGTCGGAGAAGCGGGTCGGAGTCGGAAGTGGTGTTTTGGCCAGGCTTTTCGGTCGGAGAGGCCATCCGGAGGCGGGATGGAGTCGGAAGCGAGCGTTGTTCTTCTTTCGGTCGGAGAGGCGGGCCGGAGTCGGAAGCGGGCGCCATTCCTCTTCGACCAGGCCTTCCGGTTGGAGATTTGAATCGCCCTTCTGGCCTGTCGTTTAGGTTTTTTGGGCCAGCCCAGGAGTTGCATGTCGTTCGCAATGTCGCCTGCTGGGCCGAGCCATTGCTAGAAAGCCGGTCCATGAGGGACCCCGGGTTTATGAACCCGACAATCATCATTACCATGACCTAACTCAAGTTGCCTCTGCAAAACACACGTTAGTCACAGTAATCTAGTATCGTCATTAATCACCGAAACCCAACTAGGGGCCTAGATGCTATCAATCACCCCCTTTTTGGTGATTGATGACAACACAACCTCGAGTATGTATAAGAGATGAGTGAGGTTTTCAACATGCTTGGTTCATATAAGCAATTGACAATAAGAACAAGAGGGGGTTAGGCATGCTTATATGATCCAAGCCAATGCAATGTACTCACAAGATATGAAATACGTATGAGTACACAAAGTAAAGCTCATTTTATCGGAGTAAAACGCGGAAGCAAAGCAAATGAGCATAATAAAGTGACATGACATATATATCAAAGTAGAGAGCACACAAGTCACACAAGTTTCACAATCACACATATATCGCATATAACACAATGCATGAGAGTAAACGTGAATGCATGAAGTATCACACACAAAAGATCGAGTCCATCTCACAAGCTCCCCTGAATCTAGCATACTCGCTCCCTCTCCCCCTTTGGCATCAAGCACCAAAATCTAAAGGTCGAACGGCGGGCTAGAAGCAGACGAGTCGGGCGCTGAGGTGCGGTGAGAGATCTAAAACTGAGTTGCATCATCCTCGGACCCTGAACTCTGAGCGGTCGGACCCTATATCACTGGAAGTGGAGGTGAAGCGGTCTGGGTCTGCTCGGTGGACTCGATAGCTGGGTCGGCCTGTGGTTAACACTAAAGCTGTGGTAGTAGCCTGACCCTATGACTTAGAAGGTGTCACTGTAGGAAGTGGAGCCATAACTATCGCTGTCGCTTGTCGCTGAAACCTCAAGGGTGGGAGTGACCGTCAGATGCAGCTCGGACGAAGCAATAGAAGACGGGATCGTCTCAGTAGTCCCCATGACCGGAGCAGCTGTGGTAGGAGCAAGGACTCGAAACTCAGGCGGTGTAGGCTATCCTGTGAGCTCACTAAAAGTAGCACCCAGACTCCTAGAGACAGGGGTGTCCGTCACTAGCACTGACATGGACTAAGTAGGAGTGAAGCCCGTGACTATAGGAGTAAAGTGTTGAACCTGCTCTGTCCCTGGTGAAGCAAACTACTGAGACACCTGCTCGGTAGGTGAGGCAAACTATGTAGCCGGCTGTCCCTAACTCTGAAGCCCACTGGGCTATATAACTAGAGTCACTGGGGTAGTAGTATCAGGTTGACCGAGTTGCAACGTGGGCTGGTGAGGAGCAATCCCTGTAGCTAAAAAGACATGCTACATGAAACCAAGAAGCTGCTGCTGCTACTGCTAGAACTGATCTTGACGTGCCTCTACCTGAGCAATGGCAGTTGTTGTCTCCCGTGCCTGACGAATGTGGTCTGGCCGCATGCGCTCAAGTATAGCTAGCAAGGCGGGGTCTGTCTGCGGCGGCTGTGCTGTGGTGGCGCTGAGCTAGAGCAACCAGCCTCTCTGTCGTGTGCATGTGGTGGCATATGCGGGATGGGCTGGTAGTGTTCATCTGAGCTGTCAGTTGGGTCGCTCTCAACCACGTCCTCCTGCTGTGCCTCTAGATGCTCTAACACCGGTCTCAGCAATGGCTCTGATGGCCTCGTACGACTCAGCTGCAGTCGTTGGCACCTCTGGACTACGGCTCGGCTAGCTAGGAGTCCTCCCATGACTGTGACATAATAGCTAGCTCATGTCATACTATGGTAACTCTGTAGTAGCACCACTCCACTGAGCCACTATCTCTGGGGACATCTGTGAAACTGCCTGTAAGATAAGAAATGTGATCCAGTGAGTATATGGCAACTGACGATGGCCTCTAAACCCCTCTGCTAAGGTGCCCTCCATCTCTGAGAGCATCATATCCCAAATATAAACACAGTCTGAGAGAGCACAACAACCTCATGCTATTTTTTATAAAAAAATAAGGCATTTACATATATGCTACTATACTTATTTTAAAAATATTTGCAGAAGTTCATTTACCTGAGCGGCGCCGCAACCATGTAGATGTCCCAACCAATGAAGATGAATTCGATAGTGAACTATTCAAACCAACGCATGATGGTTGGGACGGTGATGAAGATGCCATGGACGGCGGCCATGGATTGCACAACAAAAACTTATACGATGATGATGATGATGGAGTCATTCATCAACATGCGCAAGGTACTACGACGACATTTATACGTCATGTTAGAAATCCAGCTTAAATAAATACGTCTTTACATAGAGCATTTTTATATATTAAATTAATATGATTACTACAATGTCTCGCACACAGGTCATAATTATGAGTCATATCACGTGCTTCTGGAGGGTCCAGCTGCAAATAATGTGACAGATGATGGACCATATGAATTCATCTACCAGAACCTACCACAAAGACATATATTGAGAAATGTCCATGATTGCAATTACTATGGTGCGATGAGGTTTCAGTATGAGACACCCGGGTGTTGTTGTAGAAAAGGAAAAGTACAAATACATATACCAGAGGTTCCTACGGAGCTGAAAAGGTTATTCACAAGTCAAGTGCATGATGATGCAAAATATTTCAGGAAACATATACGTTATCTCAACTCGCATTTCGCCTTCGCAAGTCTAGGGGTTACCCTTGACCGCAGATATAACAGTCCAGCTGGGACCGGTATTTATACATTTTGAGTTCATGGCGGTTTGTACCACCGTCTGGACCACCTGGTGCCAGGTGGCCACGGCGCTCGGCATCTGCAGCTCTACTTTTATGATACAAAAGATGAGGCCTTGTCACATAGAGTCAAAAGGTCCCCTGATCTTGATATCAACCTCATCTGGAATGTTCTTGCAATTTTGCAAGATAACCCATATGTTCATACTTTTAGGAGAAATGGTGCTTTTCCAAACTTGGATGACTACCGGATTGAACTCAATACAAATATCACGCCTGACCAGAGAAGGTACAATGCCTCAACGGCGTCCCAAGTTGCTGCTATTTGGATGGAAGGGAACGATCCATAGAGATGTTTTGATAGGAGTGTGGTTATATATGGAAGAACCGATCGTCGTCCGCAATATATCCAAGCATACCATGGTTGTTACGACCCATTAGCTTATCCTCTATATAACCCACGAGGGGAAACGGGATGGAACAAGTTTATGCCGTACAGTGGTGATCCAGACACTCGACCATTTGCAACCCCGTCTTCTACTAATGTTAATTACATGGATGACGGGACTACCGATGGTTATCAAGGTATTATCTCCTAATATTATTTTCTGCTATAATACTCGTACTATTGAATCGCTGCTATAATACTATATTATAACATGATCTAATAATTTATCTATATAATATTAACGAAAATCAAGCAGAAGAAGGCGACAATGACGTACAAGAAGGTGGCTGGCTAAGTGGAGTTGCGGATGCAGCACAATCCTGCAGCACAATCCACAAGATATGTAACTGCACGAGAATACTACTGCTTCAAATTGCAAGTTAGACGGGGACTGCCAAAGGGCGCCTACCTCAAACGGTTAGGTGACCCAGCGGCACTCCTCAGGTCCTGGGTTCGACTCCCCGTGGGAGCGAATTTCAGGCCGAGGTTAAAAAAAATCCCCTCGTCCGTCCCCATAACCAAAGCACTGGGGAGGGGGGGGGCACTGGCCCAATTCTCACTTAGACGACGGAAAGCCACCGTGTAAGGGTGGGGGCGGGGGTTCGGGGGTTTTCTCGGCCGGGTGAGAAGGTCCTTCTTCTTATTTGAAATGTTGCGAGACAGTCTTAACCCCCGGTCGAGTTTTTTTTTTAAGTTAGACAAGAATTTTTTAACATTTTATTATTTGGAGGACGTCTTTTCTAGCAGTGGGTTGTGGATATGTATATAAAGATTGAGTCTATGTGAATCATGAATGCAATGTTCTAAATATTTTTAGAAGAAAAAAAATGGTCTGCAACTGTTATCTATCCTGTCCAGAGGGAATTTGTAGAAGAATTTCAGTACTCAGTAGAGACTGCATGCTAGGGCTCACCCTGACATGTGTGACAATGCTTCTCAACTAGGCATTCGATGGTTCAGAAGGGAGGGTAGGAACTAGAAAGTCAACCAATGTCTGAAAGCACGTCATACTGCTTCATTATGGAGCTAGAGATCAAACTTGACCAGGGTTACCATCCTAAAATTATTGATCATGCTTCAGTTTTTTCCCTTTTATGTTTTTTTGTCCACTATCCATATCTGACGCCATCTGTATGAACTATTGCTTAATTTGCATAGCCAAAATCTGATCGAGTCCCCATGGTTTCTTGGGGAAAAAACATAAGAGGTTACTTTAGCAGCAATAAGTAAGGCTAGAAACTAACAAGCACAATGTTCCAAATGAAACGTAATGCAAGTAGTAACAGCATCGGGACCTGAGTCCTAAGGATGTCAGAAGTCAGGACCGGACAAAGACGACGGCATGAGGGACAGTGCGACGGGGTGGCATGAGGTGTCAGGCGGCGGGGCGGGCAACTAGGGGGGTTTAGTTCCTCCGAATCCAGCAAGGGTGGCGGCAGGCTGGATGGTGTCGCAGGCGGCGGGGCGGGCAACTAGAGGCTCAAAACGTAACTGGCACACCAGAACTAGAGTGTCCGCCACCAACTAACTAAACGAGGGCTAGAGGCTCGGGCACACCGAACTAGAGTGTCCATAACTAACAATATGAAAAAGACAGCCACTAGCTAGAGTGCTAGCAATATGTCCATAACTCCCCATGAGAAACGAAAGGTCAACGATCAACAGTCAACACAAAAGTCAGGCGCTCCCGGACAAGAATGTACGTGTGTAACCTGTACATACGACTCAAGAAGTGGCCATAAGACCTGCTGCCAACGTACCAACTCCCACAATCAGCGACAAAGCTTTGTTCAAACCACACAGCAGATCATTGAGTCCACCTCTAACTCCCATGGCCACTGCTGCAGCAAATGCTTAGCTAAGCTAAGAATCCCTGCGATTGACATTGTGGAAAACTGAGCGACTCAAAGTACTGATGCAGCAAGATGTTTTGAATATTGATATTCTCAAACCACTACTTAAGCAACTCTTAGAAAGACATGCATGTCCATCCGGAAAAAAAAAAGTATTGTTAAAAATGGTCAACCAATCTGCTTGTGCTAAGATAGATTGCAGAGCTATAATTGATCAAACAAAAGTAACAGAATCAGACAGAAAGAGCTCCCATTCTATCATGCTATCATACTACCTTGATTTTACTAAATGCGTGTGGTTGCTACCTGGTCCAACAAATTATCCTGTGGCTGCAAGCAGGCATAAGAACAACATACATCACGTTATTGATCAGTTTCTAACAGTTTAGCCATTCAGGAACAAGTATGTACCTGACAGTTCTGATTAGCCTCAGCATTGTCTTCACTTTGGTTATCTCTCTGCCAGCTGCCATTCATCCAACGGCCCAGACCTGTGAACCTGGAGGGCTCCGGAAATGCCTGCCCTATTGCCACTTCCCCGATGGCCCTGGTAAGACAAGCCCCCGAGGAAGTGCAAACAGGAACCTTGCAAAGTGATTTGATAATTCATAAAAGCAAAACAGCAAAAGTAAGATAACTGAAACTAAAACAACCAGGGTGTTGAACTTTGTACTCTGAGAAATATTTACGCGTGAATGCATTAGGCAGCTGAAGAATATCATAGTGATGTACAAAACCTAAGTACAAGGGTAGCTCCTATTGTTCCTAAACTGCAAACATGTCAAAACTGGCAACATTCTGGCAGTCTCTATTGTCTACAGGAACATTTCCCTCCCCTGAAAATGTGGAACCCAGACGAGTCCCTGACCGAGATCACTTTACCGGTGGCAGCAGAGGCGTGCTCCAAGAAAGAGTGGCAATCTCCGCACATGCGGATGTTCTTCACCACACGGACGATCTGTCCAGGGCCTGCCATCAGAAGGCCATACATTGACGCTAGCTTCACGCTGTGGTACATCAGAAAGTGCCTCTTCTGGTACTCCTCGACGTCGTGCAGGACGAAGGTGGTGTCCGGCTCGTACCCAGCCTTTATGCACTCAACGATCAGCACATCCAGGCCAGCGTATATGTCCCTGGACTGTGGGTGTGCTCTATCCCGTGCGAAAAATGAGTGCACCATGTTGCCGTGAAACGTCCAGCTCCTGGCTGGGATCTTGCGCATACCCTTTTCACGCATCTCCAGCCTTGTGTTCTCAGAGGAGTGCCACCTTGCTGATTCAGATAGCAGGTTTGAAGTCAGCACGTACGTGGATGGGTCTTGTGGCTCCAATGCCAGCAGACGCTTCATGGCTCGCCTCCGCACGGCCATGTTGGAGTGTTTGCTGCAGCTGTCTAGCAAAGACCGCCAAACTAATGCACCAGGCTTTAATGGCATACCACCTATAAGCTGCTCTGCCTCGTCAAAATGGCCCCAGCAGCCAAGGACATAAACAAAGGCTGCATAGTGCTCCATGGCTGGTTCAATGCCATATGTGCTTGGCATAGAAAGAAAGAGTTCCCTGCATTTCTCTGTGGAGTCTGAGCTTGTGTGACTGCAAGCAGATATTGCCAGAAGAAATGTAATGGAATCAGGCCTGACCATTAATCTCTCCATCTCAGACCATATCTTCAATATCTCATCCCCCTGATGAAGAAGAAGATGGGCAGTGATCATTGCATTCCATGACACCGAATCTCGACAAGTCATTCCCTCAAAGAAACTGACCGCATCTTTCAACTCCCCGCACTTGCCGTACATACTAATAATCGCGTTACCAACTCCACGAGCGCACAGAAGCCCGGATTTTGCAGCAAAGGAATGCATTTGCTTTCCAGGTTCAGCAAAACCTAGACTGCCACATACTCCAAGGACAGCAGTCAACATGAACTCATCAATGAATTCTACACCATTGCTTCTAAACATCTGAAGGAAGGTGAAAGTGCTTTCTCATACTCACCATCTCTGACACTAGCCAGCAGTAGAGAATTCCAGGCAATGTGAAAGCTCTCCTCATGCTGCCATTGCTCAAATAACAGATGCGCGTCTCCAGATCGGCCACATTTGATGCACATATCAATCAACGCAGCATCAATCCACGGACTAGATACACATCCACACTTAATCACAAATGCATGAACCTGCTCGCTCGCCTTCCTATCTGCAGCAATAGCACATGCATTCAGCACGCCCGTCACCGTGACATCTGAGATCTCCAGCCCATCCTCCACCATTTGCCTAAACAAGCCGAGACCTCGTTGGCCCGCCTTCTTGGCAAACGTGACACGCACGCCTTCCTTGTTCTGACAAAACCCAGTGAGAACCGCATTGTATGTAACGAAGTTCCTCTGCGGCATCTGTTCAAACACATCCAGTGCCATGTCAACGAGACCGAACTCCATGTACCCATTCAGCAAACCGGTCCACGAAATCACGTCCTTCACCAGCATCCTCTGGAACACGCTCACCACGTCCTCAACAGAGGCCCCATGCTCCGCGTAGAACCCGATGAGCGCGTTGCCCACACTCAGGTCCGTCTCCAGCCCCGACTTGAGCGACAGAGCATGCACCGCCTCGCCCTGGGGCTGGCCAAACCCCTCGCCCGCCGCGGTGAGGAGCGCCGACAGAGTGAACCTGTCGGCGCGGACGTTCCCGCTCGTCCGCATCTCGCCAAACAGCTCGAACGCCTCCTCGTGCCGCCCCAGCTCGACGAGCCCGGCCAGGACCGCGTTCCACGACGAGACGTCGCGGCGGTCCATGCCGTCGAACGCCCTCATCGCGTCCCCGAAGCGGCCGCACTTGACGTACATGCCGAGGAGCGCATTAGCCACGAGGAGCGACGAGGCGTGGCCGGACTTGGCGGCGAGGGCGTGCACCTGCGTCCCGAGGCGCGGGTTGCCCCTGCGGGCACATGCGGTGAGGAGGCCGACGAAGGTGTACTCGGTGGGGAGCAGCCCGTCCACGAGGCGCATGCGGCCGAGCAGCTCAGCCGCGGCGGCGGTGGCGGGGCCGGAGCCGCCGGCGAGGCGCGCGTGGCCCGAGATGAGCGCGCTGTAGGAGGCGGCGTCGCGCGCGGGCATCCGGTCGAACACGTCCCGCGCGTCGGCCAGGCGGCCCGCGCGGAGGTACGCGCACATGACGGCGTTGGCGGCGCGGACGTCCGGGGAGGTGCCGAGCGCGCCGGACTTGACCGCCGCCGCGTGCGCGGCGTGGGGGTCAGGCGGCGGCGGCGGCCACCGCGCGGAGGAGCAGGCGGGGAGGGGACCCATGGGGAGGCGGAGGAGGGGACGGCGCGGGCGGGAAGGAGAGGAAGGTAGTGGGCGGGGAGGTGAGGTGGAGCGGGGGAGGAGAGGAGGGGGATGAGGGGGAGATGGCCATTCATTTCACGCCGAGGTTCGCGGAGCTAAGGTGACCCGGAGGAGCTCCCTCCATTGACGCGTCGCGCGCTGGGGCGTCCATGGAAGAAAGGGAGGAGCCCCGGTCTGGTGGGCTTTAGTAGCTGGACCGGCCCATAAGACGACCCTGCCCAGCTCCAGGATCGTATTGGGCCAAACTGTTTTCTAGTTTTACTTATTAAATGCTTAGACCTGTTTGGATACAAAGTAATTTTGAAGTTTTAGAAAGATACCATGGTTTTGTGAAATACTTTGGTTTTAGAGTGCCATGAAGTGTTTGGGTGCAACAAACTTTATGATTTTGAATACAGCATGGCTAGCGCCCGGACATCCGGACGCCGGCGTAGTCCGCCATCGCCCCACCACGCACTCCACCCCGTATCTGACGTCCGCCGATCATTCCCCAAACCCGCTCCTCTCTCTACGCGTGGGCCCCTTGACTGGAGCACCCGTCTCCAACCCACCATCCCCCGCCCCCCGACGCGCCGCGTGCACCGTCCTCCTGCCCCCCCGGCTCGTCTCCAGCCGAACAACATAAAACACTTGCAACATAAAAAAAATGCAACATATGCCTGAAAACATATGAAACACTTAGACCATGCACTTGCGACATGTATGTAGAACACATGAAACTTCCAAAAAATAACACTTGCAACTTGCAACATGAAACCACTTGCTGCAACATAGACTAAAATAGTTAAAACATTTTGGAACATACTATCGCAACATATGTAACATCCAAATAAAAAATGATTGCAACATACATATGAAAACAGATGAAACATTTTGAACAAACACTTGCAACATTCATCTGAAACATTTGCAACATCTTCAACATCCCCATGATCTACTTTTGCAACATCAAAATGGAACAATTGCAACATACATCTAAAACGTCTGAAACAATTGAAACATACATATGCAACATAGGTGAGCGAAAAGCCGAGGCCGGTCGATTCCAGCAGCCGGGTTCGACCGGCCGCGAGCGGCGGCGCGCGAGCACCACTGTCACCAGCGGCGGGCTTGGCTCGGCAGGGCGGGCAAACTAGCACCAGCGCCACTAGCAACACTCTTGGCTCGCCCGAGCGGGTGAAGTAGGCACCACCAGCCCCAGCGCGCGCGGCGGGAAGTGGTGAGAAGCGCTCGCGATGGGGGCGAGTGAGCGGCGTCGGATGGGGCGCGCGGACAGCAGTGAGGCAGAGTGACATCCACGTTCGGGATGAGACGAATGAAGTGGCAGCCACAAAGGTGATATGGTGGAGAGGAGGGAGCGGAAGGGATAAGAAGTTTTTTCCTTTTTTAAGAACGGTTGGGGGGCGAGGGTGAGTAAATGAGTGGTCGTTGGGCTGCGTCGTGGCCGACCATCGGCACCGTTCGGGCGGACGAACGTCCTATACCCAGTATTACCGTTTTGAGTACTATGGTATTGCTGAACTGTAGTCTTTTGTTGGAGTTTTAAAAACTCCACTTTAGACCTCTTTTTTCTAAACCACAGTTTTACACATCAATGGTTCCAAAACTATAGTTTCTTATACTATGATTTCTTATAATACGACAACTTCAAGAATATAGAACTAGTCATTTTGTCTTCTCTCACAAAAAAAATGAAAGAGTCACTTTTTTATTAAAAAAAACTAGTTCTATATTCTTCTTCGATTTTTTTTGGATTCAAACTAGGTAAATGCTGTGATTGATTTCTGATTCTATTTAACTTTCAGAAGTTGGTGTGCGCACAAAAGTATCCATGGTATCATCAGAATCACATGTTGATTTCGGGCTAGTTTGAGGGAACTAATAAATATCGTATTTCTTTTGAGGCCATGTTGCATTCTTTTTTTTTTTTAAAAGGGACAAGATGTGGTGTTGCAGAACAAATATGAGCTTTCTAAAAAATTTCTCTTTTGCCTTTTGTATCAGCGATTTCAAACTTTAGTGATGACACCAACCACACCAAGACATGACCGTGCATTATATTGTTCGCGCCAGCCGGCCGCCAGCTGATCGAAGTCGTTGGTTAAACTTTTTCGTCAGCAGGAGCAGGACGCCAGCTGAAATCGCTGGTGACCAACGAGTAAACGAAAGCTGCGAGGCAGAGGATGAAGATCATGACGGGCAGCATGAGCGGCACAGCGAGGAACCAGTTGATGGCCTTGTCGGCGCCGTCCTGCTGGAGCGCCGTCCACACGAAGACGCCCTCCATCGCGACCGTGGCCACCACGAAAAGCACCTGCGCATCCATGCATATGCACAGTTAGCTAGAAATTAAATCGATCTCTCTACACACACAAAAAAAAACAGTACGTGCCGACGATGCGTACGTACGTGGATGAATCGGCCCCGTTCGCTGGTCTGAATTTTGGCTGAAACTAGCTGAAAAATACTGTTCCGGCTGAATTGTTGTGAGAGAAAAATACTGTTCCGGCTAAAAAAATCAAGCCGAACAAGCCAAATTTTAAGACAAGCGAACGGGGCCCTTGTGGAAGCGGCTCATCGGCCGCAGGGGCAGCTCGCCGAGGTGCAGGCACGGGTCCCAGTCGTCGTCGGATTCCTTCTCCTCGTCGTCGTCACCGGGGACCTCGAGGATGAGGCGCGCGTGGCGGTGGCTGTGGCGACGACGATGGCCTCGAGCTGTGGGCCGCTGGTCGTCGTCCTCGTCCTCGTCAGATGATGATGAGATGGGCTCGAGCCGGACGTAGTAGTACCTTGCGCCTGGCTCGTCGTCGTCGGAATCTATCGAGTCTCTGCAACGCATGTACGTCGAAGGCGGGAAGAACACCACCATGGCCGGACGTCCGTAAACTGATCGGCGCCGGCCGCCGGCGCGCGCGAGATGATGAAATACGTGCGTGCAGACCGCGACGACCAAAGTAGTAGTAGAGATCGCCGCTGCTACGTGTCCAAGTATTTTTTTTTATTATATTTATAGCAGAGCGCGCGGTGGACGGTACAAGTACGTGTCGGTGTCGAGGCTCTCGAGTCCTACACTGCGCCAGCGCAAGATACGAGCCCGAAACGAACTAGGGTAGCGTTTGGATCGACGGGGATTCTAAGAACCCAGATAGAAGAAATCTTAAAATCCTCAAATCTCATCCAAACACCCTAAGATTCTAGAAGATTCTAAAACACAGACATAGAATCCAAGAAACATCAGAGATTTTTTTTTTCAGAATATGAAATTTAGAATAATCCAATCCAAACATGCCCTAGATTTGTGTCTCCATGGAATCTTCAACAAGTTCGATCTAACGCCGCCGTACTTGACGGAAAAAAACACAAGAACCTTCGGGTGGGCTCGTATGCCCACTACTAGGTGTAGGAGGTTTTAGGGAAAGCAATTTCAGCGCCTCTTTAGGCACAACTTATTCAGGAGCTTCCTAAACTGTTTGAAGTTATTTTTTTTAAAAAAATAGACTTGTTCACAAAAAACTCTACCTATAATGCTTTTAAAAACATGCTCTCAAATAGGAACACTATACTACACACCAGAATTAACGTCAAACGTCAGTCGCTAAAACTAGTTATTTAGTGATGTAACATGGGTCGGTAAAAAATTCCAACGAAACATCGGTTGGTAGTGCCTTCGGTGGCTATACATCAGTCGCTATAGATAGTGTCGAACAATCGGTCGGTATAGGTTAGTAATAACATCAGATCATCGGTCAATATATATAGAGCTAAAATCTAGCACGATGAGGCTATCGATTCGCGGCCAAAATTTGCCTACCGAATCTCCAAGACCCTAAAAGAATCGCCGCCACTTTTTCCTGGCTCACGCTCCACCTTATAACCTTATCCCTTCCTTCCTTGAAAAAAAACACTGCATCCCTTCCATCCCAAATTGCCCCCCACGCGCGTGGTCCTCTCTCGTCGCTGCCGCTCGATCCAGTGCTCCACGCCGCTGCTCCTGGGGATCCCATCAGGGGCCGTGCCTAGCTAGGGGCCACGCCAGTAGGGGGCTCACGTCGTGTGCCGCCGCTGCAAGTGTCCCGCGCCGCCGCCGCTCCCAGGTTCTATGCTGGTGGGCTACACCTTCGAAGGAGTGAGATGAAGCTATAGCTTTCTCTAACTTCACCTGGCACTTGTGGGCCCAACCACATGAATGCATGAGCAAGATAAGAAAAAGAATAGGCAGCCTGTTAAATTTGGGGCTGAAACGATCGTATACGATCGTAGATTATTACTACTGGCTGGTTTGGTGTGAGAGAAAAATACTATTATGGCTGGAAATTTACGATCGTTTACGACTAAGCGAACAAGCCAAGGAGAGAAAAAAGAGAGTGAAGGGCATTAAGGCATTTTATTCTTTTTGTTTATTATGATAAGCTATTTTGTTAAACGAGTCGTTAAAACAGTTTTAGCTTCACGATAGAACTTCTTGTGTAGGACTAAAGTGAAAAAATTGCTTTACTAGCGAAGCTGAATTGTGACGAATACAGTCTCTCCACCTCTGGAAACAGTTTCCATCGAAGGAAGGACGGTGCGGATGGTTTACATACTAATACAATGGCACTAGACGTTTAATTTGATGAGCTCCGTCACTGGAGGTGGGACTTGCAGCAGGTGTCACGGGACGGCGTGGAGCCGCGGAGCTCGACCAGATGTCGACATCACTGATCTAGAGATCAAGACGGCGAGTTATGGCAGAGCTTGACGAGCTATGACGACGCCACGGATGTTGAGAGCGGAACGGCGAGTTGCGACTGCCACATGGACAGCAGGCAGAGGTGGGTCCAAGTGTCGAACCAGTTGACCTAAGGCTCGAGGGTTTTTGATCCACTTATTATCGTAAAGGAAACGTTCCTTTCGATCCCCTCAACTTTTGCATTCGTCGGACTTACCTTTCTCATTTATAAAATCGTTTTTGTTTTGCCAAGGCTGTGAGGAAGATCAATCGGACTAGTTAAAAGTTCATGAAGGTAAATCAGGCTAAAACTATCTAAAAAAATCATAAAAATAAATTTTCAAAAAAAATCATTCAAATATTTTTACATGAAAAAATGCAATTAAAAATCATAAAATTGGGTTTACTCTTACAAAATCCATAGAATTTTGTTTTAACTTGAAAAATTATAAAACTAGTTTTTTTTTCTAAAATCATGCTCTATCTTATGGTGCCTAGCTTGAAATTGTTGAAGCTTGATGGACTCATTTGGTGCTTATTTACTAGTATAAGCTCTTGTTATCTATTATAATTAGAGGATGTTGATGTCCGAACTATGTAGGAGCACTAGTGGAGCGTCGTTACGACCGAAGTTGGCACTGGTCCCTGCCCTACATAACTTTTTAAAGTAGTTGTGTTAGCTTGCGTTGCAACATGTACCCTACCGCACATATGCATGTATGCACCCTTTGTTTAATATATTTAATTAAGTTTTATAAACTATTGAATTTATTTAAGTTTTAATACAATGAATTACGACATCCTTGCCGCTCTAGGCTCCGTAATTCATTGTATTAAAACTTAATTAAATTCAATAGTTTATACAAGTTGATTAAATATATTAAATAAAGGGTGCATACATGCATATGTGTGGTAGGGTGCATGCAGCTGCATGCTAACACAACTACTTTGAAATTTTGTCCAGGACAGGTGACCAACATCCAGTATGGTCCTAACGAGTAACAGCGCTCCACGGGCACTTCTACGTAGTTCAAACGATCAACATCATCTAATTATAATAGATAACGAGAGCTTGTACTAGTAAATAAGTACCAAAAAAAGTTTATCAAGATTCAAACAATTTCAAGCTAGACACCATATGATAGAGCATGATTTTAGAAAATAAAAAGAAAACTAGTTCCATAACTTTCCAAGCTAAAAAGATTTCTATAAATTTTCTAAGAATAAACCAAATTTTATGAATTTTTTCATGTAAAAGTGTTTGGGTAAGTTTTTAAAATTTCGGATATTTTAAATATTTTTACTCTGATTTACCGCTTAACTTTTAAGCAGTCCAATTTTACTTTTTAAGCCATCGGTGTTCTGAGATGTGTAGTTTTTTCATGGGTCTCTTAGATTATTGGCTTCTAGTACTCTCTCTCACTCACGCCACGGAGCTCCTAAGGTTAGGCTGCTAGCCACCGTCGACGACACAACCTCTCAAGGCCCAAACAAGTAAGAGAGAGAGCCTATATCCTGCATAAAAGGTCTACTGCACACAAGTGTGAATGACATGTTTTGGTACGACGTTGTTGTAATTATCGTATCATCAACTCTTATCTCAACAGAACAAAATAATAAAGAACCACTGATTTACCATGTTTCTAACCATAGATGCGTGCATGGATCCTAATCTGAGTTACTTATCTTAGTGGAAGAACAAAGTAATTAAAAGCCTTGTGGACTTGTGGTCAAGCAAAGGCTAGGGTTCGTGGTCCACAGAAAGCAAAAGAAGAAGAAGAAAAAAAGAACTATGAAGAGTAAGATCGTCCTGTCCTTTCCTTTTTTATCGTCCAAGTCAAACCCATGCTTATATTCTGGGTAGGATCCGAAGCATTTGGAGAATTAGGGCAAGAGATTGCTGAACGGCAATGTCACGCATTTTGACGTCGTAGCCATGATTATTCGGTAGTGGCAATTTTGGTCGTGCAATGACGCAGCTCTCACTTGACGCTTTCACCGTATACTACTATGTGTGTTGTTGCCGTGGTCCGTGCCGTGCAGGATCAGGTTCGCAGCTTGAGAGATGAGAACGCGCGAAACAAGCGGCCGGCACCGCACAGAGCAAAAGCTGTGCCTTTCCAGGACCAGGCGGCAGGCGAGTCCGTGCCGCCAAAAAGAAGAGCCAAGACACATGACGCAACGCAACACGACCTGGTGGTGACTGCTGAATCTACGACTACCGCCACGGTGGTTTGACTTATAAATCGTATTTTTTAATTAATAAATAATATTTTTCTCTCACGACATGAAGGGTTATCAGCCGAGCAAACAGCCTACTCCGATCTACGACACGAGGCTGACGACTGAGGGACTGACGCGAGCAGAAGCACAAGCAGAAGGAACCGTGCAGTTCAGACGACTGAGGGACTTGCGAAACTCATGCATTCCAGATAGGCCCTAACTTGTTCTTCTGGCCGGAGCACTTTCTCAACATTCCAAAGTTTTCATGTTATTATCAAACGTGCGCATGTATACAAAGAAAAGCCTTTACCGACAAGATGCCCTCCTTTCGAAGGTCAATATCAAATGTGTTGCTATGAAAAATGCTCTGACAAGTTCCTGTGCAAAGCCAACATAAGGCCCCGTTAAACCATTGAAAAAAAGCAATTTGAAACAAATTCATTGTATATTATTCCGAAAAATGCTCTGAAAAGTTCCTATAAGACAAGCCAACATCAAATGCAAAAGAAAGCTCAGCCAAGGTTCAAAAATATGCCCTGGGTTTTGAAAAGGAAGAAAAAAAAATACTCTGGCAATTTCTGAATGCATAGCCTAAAAAATAAGTGTTGCTTTGCACTACCTATACCAAATGCGAAAACACAGGTTCAGTGGGTTTTTTTCGTATACCTACAATATCTGTTGCTTTGCAAAGCCAATATCAGACGCGGAGAGAAAAATCTTTCACTACTCTTTAGGCGGTAGTTAAAGTACACACTACAGTATTTTGCGAAGATGATATCAAAGGTGATGCAAAAGAGAACACCCCTTGAGTTTTGTAGTATTATTAACTAAATCATACCGCAAAACTTGATAGCAAAAATGTGAATATAGACAGAATCCTTTTAGGAAAATGTGACCTCCATTTGATAATTGAATTTCAAATATGTTGCAAAAAAATAATGTTCTTATAACAAGTTTTTGTGCAAAGCTAAAATATGTATTGATTTGCAAAGCCAATACCAAATGTAAAACAAAGTTTAGTTGAATTTTGTGCACTAGCAAAAAAAAAAGGCTTTCCTTTGCAAATTGGATATCAAATGTGATGAAAAATGAAAAAGGTACTTTGACGATATTTTGATGATAGCTAAAACAAGTGTTGCTTTGCACTACCAATATCAGATGTGAGAAAAAATTATTTTTGTTGCATCCGTACAATATGTGTTGTTTTGCAAAGGTGACATCGAATACAGAGGGAAAACTCTAAGTAACTTTTAGAAAGTAATTTGGTAGGCACTATTTTGCTAATCTGATATCAAATGTCGATGCAAAACAAACGCTCCCTGGGTTTTGCGGCAATGGCTAAATCATACCACAAAACTTAGGAAGCGAAAATGTGGATACAAAAAAAAGCCTTTACAGGAGACATGCCTTTCCCTCCTTTCAAAGTGAATATCAAATATGTTGGAAAAAATATTGATTTTAACATGTTTTTGCGCATAGAGCTATAATATGTGTTGCGCTGCAAAGCTAGTATCAAATGCAAAACAAAGTACCATCGAGATTTAGATAGTAGATAAAATATGCCTTCGATGGATACCGGATATGTCGATTCTGACGTTTTTTGCGCATAGCTAAAATGTGTGTCACTTTGCATAATCAACATCAAACGCGTAAAAAGCTCTGACGGTTTTGTTTTGGAATGCGTACAATATGTGTTGCTTTGCAAAGCGAACATCAAATGCGAAGAAAAAAATTCGACTAATCTTTAGACAATTGTGAAATCATGCATTGTTTTGTGAAGATGATATCAATGTCACGAGAAAGACGCTCCCGGCATTAGCTAAAGCATTCCTCGTACTAAGTCGTATTACAAAGACAATACTAAATATGTCTTAAAATTACTTTCAGATTCAATCTTATCTATAGTATCATATCAGTCAGGATAGGACAAGCGAAATCATCGTAAAGACACACAAAACCCCACATACAGAGACAGAGAAACTTGGTTGAAGGGGATCCTGGATGCCTTGAGTTTCCTGAGCGGTGGGTTTCAGGGCCTTCGCTCTTCACAGCAGCAGTTAACAAAAATCCTGGAAAGCCCCAAACACGAAAGGCAGTTCACAAAAACCGCTGAAAACGCAACAAAATCCAAAACACGTTGTTTTCTACCGGCACTTGTCTTCTTCTCTTCCAGTGGAGCGAAAATGGTGATGCTGCCACTCCAGCACCAGTCTTTATCCGTCGCCTCCACTTGATCCATCCCTCTCGCCACTCCCTCCCCTCCATCAACAATTCCGTTTCTTCGGTGATTTTTTTTTTCTTGCTTGCTCGGTTTCTTGTGGGGCGGGCGGGCGGGCGGGCCGCGAACCGGCGAGGCGGGGGCGCGGGGCAACGCAAAGCAGCAAAAGCTTTGATCTTTATCGGCCGGATTCCGCTCCCCCTTTTCTCTCTCTCTTCCTCCTCTTCCCGCTTGCTTTGTGCTTCGTTGGTGAGAGGAGGCCCACAGGCCCACTGGCCTTTCTTCTTTCTCTCCTCTCGCATCCCCCTTCCAACTCCTCCTGGTCCCTGGAAAAGGGAGATCTTTTGGTGCAAGATTCGATCTGCTGCTGCCGCCTCGGCCTTGCTGCGTGCGCAGAGATTTGCTCCTTTCTTGGCCAGTTCAGCTCGGTGGTTTCTCGTCTGGCGGCTGGCGCGCGCGGGCAGTTGGAGCTCTTGATTCATCAGGCTCAGATTGCAGCGGCGAACGTCTGCTCTCTGAGCAGGTCGAGGCTGCTGCTCGCCGGGTGATTCCGTGGCCGCTCTTGGTGGCGGTCGGCGTCCTCGTCTGATCCGTTTCTTCGGGAGGCTTTGGTTGATGTGTTGGGTTTCCTCGGAGCTCAGTTCCCCAATTCGCCATTTTGATGAGGAGCTCTTCCCGCTGTGAGAGCTACTGCGCTCCTCCCCTGTGCTACCTCCCCTGCCTCCCCAAATCCAAAGACGATGCGGGCGGTGACCCGAAGTCCGCGTCCCCGAGCCCCGCCGCTGTCGCCGAGGACAAGCCGCCGGTGGTCCAGAAGATCGAGGAATCTGCGGCGGCGGCGGCGACCGGCTGCGATGGCGTCGGCGATGATGACAAGTGCTATAGGGAGGTGGCGGTGGCTCCCAAGAGTTGCTTGAAGAGGGCTAATTGCGAGGACAGCAGCAAGATTGCGGCGAAAGGCAATGTGAAGTGGAGGGATTTGCTGGGGAAGGATCTCACACAGGTCAAAGAATTCGAGCCAAGGTATGCGCCGTGCTCTTGCCATGTTTCCTCTGACTACTACTAGTACTATCCAGTTGACATTGTGGGTGAATTCGGTAATACTGTAGAGTCGAATTTGGGGAATGCTTGCCATGCCATGTGATGTGTGTTGTTCACCATTTTGGTTAGGCGTCAATTCGGCTAGTGGACATGTGGCTTGCCCCTGAATTCTAGAGGAATGTTCTCGTCGTTGTGGCTAGTGGACATGTGGCTTGCCCCTGATCTCTAGAGGAATGTTCTCGTTTTAGGTCTCCGTGACGCGCATTTGATTTTAAGTCATGGATGGTCACTTGCAGTTGTGCTGACATTAGGAGAACACTAGTACCTAATGGCGAAGTCAACGGTTTGTCATGAGCCTCATGTCCCTTGGTAATGGTGGCCATCTTTTTGTTGTTCCTAGGTGGTGGGTTAATTAGATAAGATTGGGCCAAGTCATTGTGTAGCTGTTCTACTATATTTGGCCTTTGGCTGGAGTGTTCAAGCATGGCTGTGGATGCATTCAGCTTGCTTCCATATGGTCACCATCTGATCATTAATCAGAATGAGTTGGTTGTTGCGAAGCCAATTTCTTGTGCCTCCGTTAATCTCAAGGCCAAACCATCCATACCTTTTCTGGTTGGATGGCCGCCCAAGTATCCTACCTGGACCCACTTCTTTTTCAGTGCTTCCTTGACAGTTTTCTTCAACGCATCAAGGAAGCGTGATCAAACGGTCTAGTTTCAACGCTATCTGGGTTTAGGTCAGTCCACCTGAGAAAAATGAGGCCTTTTCACTTAAATTATTAAAGGTAGTCTGGCAGTTACCTTGAACTTGTGTTGTGCTGTTTATGCAATGTAAACTGAAAGATTTCTTTCAGAACTTGCACGTCAACTCGGATTAGCTGTTCATGTTTGTATTTTAAGCCACGTTCCACTTTTGTTTTCTATCTATTGTTTCCATGTTAACATTGGAAGGGGTCAGGGAGATTTCATTGAGGTTTTCGTCAATAGATCTTCCACAACCCAGGTAGCTGGTTCATTATGGCCTTGTAATAATCCTTTTTTCTGAAAGAAATAAAATACTTACATATAGACCAATCAGTGTTTCAAGTTCCAAGTCAGCGCAACTTTAAAGATATGAAATCACAATCAGGGCAATTGAGCTTTCATTTTCAGTGGGTCTTTTTACTACAGGTTGCTTCCAGTTGCTATTTAGGACCATACCATGATTGGATAAGCTGAATTTTTTATTAGATTTATCACAGTCCCATCGCACATTAAAACCTAGTAATGGTGCATTGACACAGTATACATAACATCGTTATCATTCCTGCTGGTGATGAGAATATGCATTTGGATATAACCGTCGTCCTTGTGGTAGTTTCCATCATTTTCACTTGCTTGTCCGATTGAAGTTTTTCCACGCTAGGGGCCGAAGAAAATCTACCTTTGATGCTTACACAACCCTTGACTGCTCTGCTGGACCTGGACCTCTTACTCTCAGAATTGAAGATTATGGCATATCTAGCTTCGATGCTTACACAATCTTTTCTTGGATGCAGCGAATCTGGAGACTCGGACGACGAAGAATACGCCGGCACCTGCGCCTGTGTAATCCAATGAGCCCAGGGATCTCCACTGTAAATTCTGTGAAGAAGAAAAAAAAAAAAAAACAAAAAACAGAACGAGGGGTTGTCTGAGTCAGCCATTAGTCCTTGTCAGTAGAGGGTAGGGAGGAGCAGCAGGTCCATTGTTGTGTGTTGGTAATTGGTATGTGGATGTGGATGCCATGGCTCGTGTTGTGTTCTGTCAGCAGCTTCAACTGTAAACTGTTGTTACAAATGCATAGCTTTAGAAGATTTCTGCCAAATGTGTCATGTTCTCCTGTCTGGAATCTCGTTCTAACTGGTGTGCTGCGCCTTCAGGTGGGCACAATTGCTACTACCACTCTATGGGCTGGGCTGGACTGGACTGGACTGGGCCTGATCCAACCCGATGACACCGGCCTTGCTGGGCTGGGCATTTTGGCCTAAATACATGTTTTTCCCCTTTCGGTTTAAGCCGTAGTGGGCCCGTGAAGCAGAGAGGAGAGACAACGCGGATTACCCAGGCCCAGGCTCAACCCCACTCGGGCTGATGAAAAGGGAAGAGTACTGTGTGCGTGGGCCCACTGATCAGAGAGGGAAACACAGCTCTGCTTCTGCCCAGCTCCCAGGTCCCACCAACCCAACAAATCCAGCGTGAGAGAGGGGGCGCGTCACGGGCGGGTGTGTGGTGGGCCCACCATGGCAGGGAGAGAAACATCGGGCATCCGTTGGCTCCGTTGCGCTGCGCCAAATCTCGCTTCCAACATCTCCGGCCCGTGCTCTGCAGTCTCCGCCAGACAACCTCCGCGTCCTCTCAAGGTCTCACTCTCACCGGAGACCGCGCCGCGGCCCGCGGGGTTCAGGTAGCGCGGGATGGCCTCCGGGGGGTCGGCCACACGCGACGCGTACGACGAGGAGGCCGCCGTCCGCCGGCCCCTCGAGCTCGACGGCCGTGACGCCGCCGCCTCGCCCGGTGGTGAGCTCGAGGCGCTCTGTTCTATGGGTCCGTAACCTTCTGGTTGCCTGGGATCTGGGGCGGGTTTGCGGTTTTGGGTTCCGGGGCTGGGGGAATTTCAGCGTGTGGTTGGATTTCTTCGTGTGGTGTGGAACAGGAGATCGAGCTGAATTGGGGAGAAAAATGGAGAGAGCCTGCTTGGCTGAGGTAGCCTGCTCTGACTTCTGGCTGCTAGGGTTGTGCGCCTGGGATCGTCGGTTCGCGCAATGCAGTTGCTGTCTGTTGCTACAGATTGGTAACCTGGAGTTGGGTGAGGATGCATGGTTCATGCCTAATAATGAGTAAATAGGTGCATAGAGAAGATACGCTGGGACGTGAAGGCCACTTCGCGGTTGAAATGCTACATAGTAGAATTTAGTTAGCTAAGGAAAGCTTTTAGTAGGATGTTTCTGTTAGCCACATGTTTTTCAAATATCCAAGCCATAATCCATTGCTTAAATAGTTAGTGGTGTGTGTTTTGCTTACCTCAGCGTCAGGATTTTCTCAAATGGTGTTACCTTATTGTAGGGAATGTCATGCCTAGGTATCAAGTGGGCTCGACGAAGGGTGATTCAAGTAGTAGACACTCTGAGGAGCGGAGGCAGCCTAGCACAGATGATGCTTGCAAGAGCAAGCCTGGGTCGAGATACTTCACGGCGTTTGGGGTGGATCTGTCCCCTGATAATTTGGCAGTTGCCATTGTATATTTTGTGCAAGGGGTTTTAGGTCTTGCACGGCTTGCTGTGAGCTTTTACTTAAAAGATGATCTTCATCTAGATCCAGCTGAGGTATGTGTTGCTCATTCCTTTTCCTGTCCTACATGTACCATCTTTATATTTAGATTTAGATTTTAGAGCTCGGTTCTTGTTCCATGATGTAATGTTTCCACTGTTCAGTTAATAGGTGCTGTTAAGTGACTGAGACGGTTTCTTTTATATAGACTGCAGTGGTATCTGGTTTCTCGTCCTTGCCATGGTTGATCAAGCCCCTCTATGGCTTTATCAGGTCTCAGAAAACCTCCCACACTCATTTCTTTCTAATGTATGTGTACACTTGATTTTGAATCCTCTACTCTTGCCTTTCAGTGATTCCATTCCACTCTTTGGATATCGAAGAAGGTCGTACCTTTTTCTGTCAGGGTTACTTGGAGCACTTTCATGGAGTTTAATGGCCACAGTAGTGAGCAGTAAATACAGTGCCGCATCCTCTATTCTTCTTGGCTCACTTTCTGTTGCCTTCTCAGATGTTGTAAGTGCCGCATCCTCATAGTCTTACATTTATTCAGTTGTTGATGGTCAATAATATCAGGTCCAGTCTTACATTTATTCAGTCGTTAGCAGTCATTTAAGTGATGATATGCTCCAGTTGTTTATTGATACTTTCTTGTTCTTCCTCAATGGCATATTTATGATATTAGATTTCTTAACCTGCTATGCCATTAAATATTCTCTGTGAAGGTGAGAAATTGGTTTCCTTCTATGCGGAGCTCTTTATTCTATTGTATATAGTCCAAGTGGATCTGTGATCATTGTTTATACAGTATTTTCCCCATTGTTGGCATACTTTACTTTTCATAGAGGGCACAGAGCAAATTTGTATTGAGTTATCTCACAACCAAATTTAACTGTAAATACAGGCATAAGGAAAACTCTAACAAATGTCTAGTATGAAAACAATTTTAAAATGCATACATGTGCGCGTGCAGGCACATTGAAAGCATCCTACAAAAGAGCAGATACCCTCAAACAAGCCCGAATCTCCATTGTTGCATTGATTCTTGTAAATGTTTTTTGTAAAGAAAATTTCTTTGTTGTGCTTTCCAGCATGCTTCATTTAAAATCCCTACCCATTAATACTGAATACACCAACTAGTCAATTGTTTGCGAATCAGTTACTGGTGCATATTAACACAGTGCTTCCTTGTCTTGATTCCAAATTTTCATGCAGACATTTCTTAAAAACACGTTTTCATAAAAAACATGTTCATACAATGCATCCTTCTAGCTATTGGACACAATCCAATCATATATTATTTAAAGTTTAGGCATGGGGGCATCTAAGTATATCAATTTTACAGCACAACCAAGGAATAAATGGTCACTATCCTTAAAGTCAAAACTATAAATAAAATACAAGCTCACATTTATGACCTCATTGCTACCAAAATTTTCCATTGGATTGTTACAATGTGCAAGCACATCGATGAGTTTTGGAATTAGCTTGGGTTATTTTAATTTATTTTAAAAACAGTTACTGCCAACAATATTTCCACTTCCAGGCTTTTGTTCTAGCTAGCTTTCTAGTTTGCATGGAGGTAATAATGCACCTTTCTGGCAAACCAACACTGCTCCTTCAAGAAAATGCTGGTTCATCCCGACATAGTTATATTTCCAGCTGAAGTTTACATTGTAAGGCTGACCATCTGAACTTATTTTTACAGTGCTATTCAAATTAATCATTTCATTAGGGGCCTGTCTAGACATACTACTGGGTGCATCTGGTCAAGTGTGTCAGTGTGGTTAAACATTTATCCAAGCTTATCTTTTTTGTACCAAAAAATATCATCATATCATTTCCACCTCATGCTGGGACTGTAGAACAAGAACTTTTGCATGTATATTGCTTCAAGGTTTGTCTCAGCACATGTGGGAACACTGTAGGTAGTGGATTCTATGGTTGTTGAGAGAGCCCATGGAGAATCTCAAAGTACATCTGGATCACTCCAGTCGCTCTGTTGGGGATCTTCTGCCATTGGAGGAATTGTGAGTGCTTACTTCAGCGGTTCGCTTGTGGATACTTATGGAGTAAGGTTTGTCCTATTGTACCACTACCACTTGAGCTGACACGCGCCCCATTGTTTTATAGTTCAGTCTACTGATGAAAGTATTCCTGTAAACGCAGATTTGTCTTTGGTGTTACAGCATTTTTACCCCTGATGACATCTGCTGTTGCAGTTCTTGTAAATGAACATCGCATATCTTCTGGAGAACGTACTACCTTACTCTCTGGTTCAGGATTCGTTGAGAGCTCTAAGCAGCACATCAGGCAGCTTTGGACTTCAGTAAAGCAGCCTAACATTTTGTTGCCGACCTTGTTTATATTTCTTTGGCAAGCAACACCGCAGTCAGATTCTGCTATGTTTTTCTTCATGTATGTCTGAAATCTTTACAGTACTGATCTGTGATGGGTCTTATCCTGTACTCCTGTTTATGGCCTATTTGCTTGCTTTTTTACTGTTGCATTGGATTTAGTTGTAATCCAATAACTATAACTTTCACAGACTAGAAGAAAGGTCTTAGCTTATTCTGATTGTTGGTGTTCCTCTAGCTTGTCTTTATTTGGAGTGGCTACACTACCATAGGCTGTAAAATTGTACACAAAATCAAGAAAAGTTATCTTGCTTCACAAAGTACTCCCTCCGTCCTGAATTATAAGTCATTCCAACTTTCTTGGAGAGTCAAAGCATCTCAAGTTTGACCAAATTTATATAATAAAATAATAACATTTATGAACCAAATAAGCACCATTAGATTCTTCATTAATTATACTTTCATAGTATACCTATTTGGTGTCATAAACCTTTATAATTCTCTCTATAATTTTGTCAAACTTATGATACTTTGAGTCTCCAAGAAAGGTGGAATGACTTATAATTTGGGACAGAGGGAGTACAAAGCAAAGTAATGATTTTGGTTAACTTTGGATCCTAATTTTATACACGCCAACAAAATGTTGTTTTTCATTATGTTTGGTCCCTTTTTCACTAGTTGTGTATTAGCAGTTTGAAGATATCTACCAATATGATCTCAAACTTTTTTTTGACTGAACATGATCTCAAGTCTGTTATGCTTATTTTGATATTAAATAATTAAACAAGTATGTCAGCTGATTAATGCTTGTAGTTTGCATATTAGTGACCTGTAACAGTTACTTTTCATTATGAACTAAACTGTCCTAAAGGGAGCATGCGCGTGGCTTGGCCCGGTTAGAACTTGTCAGAACATTTTTTCAGATTTGTCCTTTTTTTTGGGAGGGGGGAGGTAACCTGTCTCTTGCCTGATTGATTATGTTTTTTATCCACTGTTTATTTTATAATGAATAAATGATTAACTGATTTCTATCTGTAAGAATTTTAAAATGATCATTTTTTTATGTTCAATAATATATTTCAGCACAAATAAGCTTGGATTCACTCCAGAGTTTCTAGGGCGTGTGAAGCTTGTAACCTCTTTTGCATCCCTGCTCGGTGTCGGGCTCTACAACTATTTTCTGAAGGAAGTTCCTCTAAGGAAAATCTTTCTCGTGACAACCATTATAGGTTCAGCTCTTGGGATGACACAGGTGCTCTTTATATTATTTTCTTGATTGGTGCTGCAATTCTTTTCTATCCTTTAAACATACTGCATTGTATATATTTAGGTGCTTCTTGTAACTGGGCTAAATCGGCAGTTTG